TTGGGGACCACGAAATGCCGAATCTCAGTGGTTGGAACCATTGGATGTCATGGCCCGCAACAGACATCAGTGGCGTCAAGGTTGTACTGCCATTTTATCCCTTATTTAATGCACATCAAAATCTCACGAATCAAAAACATCAAAATGCCGTGTGTAAAATTAAAAAAACCTCTATCCATTTTTTGTCACATTTCATGTTTACATTCTCTCTATATTTTCTGCCATGGTTCTGATGGTACAATGTCTGTTAACAACCTTTATATGGTTGGCGGCATCCGGTTTCAGATTTGCCTGTCAGTGTGGCCAGCCACAGGACGCCTGCGCCTACAGAGGGACCACGGGTGGCTTGCGCTGCACCACCCACAGCTCCAACCACACACCCCATATCCAGTGTAAACCCGAAGCAATAAGACCAGGAGGCATGCGGATGGGAGCCACGTTTCATCAACGGAGCCGGCCCACACTCCTTCACAGACAAACACAAGCACGCTGTGTTTGGAGAATCAGATACACACAATGCGGTGGCTGGACCGTAGTCCGCTCCACACTGAATACATGGGACCACTCTTCGAGTCTAGCACGGCCACAAGGACCGTGCACCCCGTCCCCTCCAGCAACGACCAACTGTCTCCTGGAGCCAGTATGGACAAGGTAGTGGGTAATAGACAGGTAGGCACCTTGTCAACATGCACATCAAGCGCAGCCACATGGGGGATATCAAACAACAGTCAATCACTTGAGAGAGAGATACAAAGAAAATAACTCGATTAATGCATAAAGAAACGGTGACATATACCTTAAATTAATGAGCATATGAAAGAAGTTGTTTACAAACGAATCCAAGATAAGTTCAGGAGGTCAGAAAGTATACTTTACGGAAATGCCACGAACACAAAAATGTTATGGAAATCGAATACAATTGGCTTAAGCGAGGTGTGCAAGTTAATGGAATAGAGTACAGGTAGACATTTATGTGAGAAAGAAAAGCATTAAGGCAAAATTGAAAATCCACCACCTGAAATAAAGAGACTTAGCATGCAAGCACGCCGTTATAAAATTGAATGCAGCGTACCTACGAACGTTGAGTTGGTGCTGCCTACGTTCTCTGCAGGACCCGTCGTCGCTTCGGTAGTGGTCCCGAGTGACCTCGCTCATAGCTCACTAGGCCTGCATGATTCACGCACTCGCGAAAGCATGTGCTACAGCACCATGCACTCGATGTCGATGGGGTACAATCCATCGGTGCTTGCCGCTTCTTCTCTGTATGCATGAGGTCTTTCTCCCGGATTTCAGCAACTGCCTTCGTGATTAGATCGCGCCATGCACGCCGATCAACCGTCTTCGATTCCCATGACCTGCAATCAAGATTAGAACGTGGGAGGCTCACTTTAATCATGTCCTGGTAACGTAACTTTGGTTTCCCCACGTGCCGCTTCCCAATATTCAGCTGATCGTATAAGAGTTGTTTCGGTATCCGAGTCGAACCAATGCGCCACACATGACCGAGCCACTTCAGGTGTCTCAGTAAGAGTATGCAGTCCACTGCATACATTACACTTTGTCGTAACACTTCCGTGTCAGCAACTGTGTCGCCCAACTGGTGCGCAAAATCCGTCGCAGACACTGCTGATGGAACCGCTCGAGTTATCGCACATCCCGCCGGTACAACGTCCACGTTTCACTGCCGTATAGAAGAACGGACAACACCATCGATTTGTACATCATCAGCTTCGTGCCAATGGTAAGCTGATGGTTGTTCCACACTCAGTACTCTAGCTTTCCGAATGCCGCGAATATGCAGCTCACTGTGTGGCTGCTGATCTGTCGACATCACACTCCCAAGGTAGCTGAAACGGGAGGTGGTTTCCAATACTTCAGCACCAATGCTGATTCGCGGCAATATTGAAGATTGCACCTCCGGTGAAGGCTGAAAGAGACAGATAGATTTGCTTGTGTTGTTGGTGAGCCCGAATTTGGCCGCTGTCGAAGCCAGCGCACTAGTCCTGTGCTGCAACTCATCCGCGCTGTGTGAAAACAACGCACAGTCGTCAGCAAATAGCAACATACGGATAGTTGTATCACAGACTAGAATTCTCGCACCGAAACGACGGATGTTCGCAACCCACCATCAATACGGTGCTCCACACAAACACCGTAAGCACAAGCGGCATCAAAAACACAAGACATCATTGCATGAAGATATATATTAAATAGGGCAGGAGCTAAGACACAGTCTTGCTTCACACCAGAGACAACTGCAAAGTCATCCGAGGTCTCTCCACTCAGCTGCACCCTCGCTCGCATACCACTGTGCAGACATTCAATTAAACTTACAAACTTACGCGGGCAACCAAACTTACCCAACACCAGCCACAATGCCTCGCGGTTCACCGTATCAAATGCCTCGGTGAAATCAACAAAAAACGAGTACAATGGCTGGTGTCGTTCTCTGCACTTCGCTTGCAACTGACGAGCCGCAAACACCATATCTATAGTGCTGCGACCCGAACGGAATCCGCACTGCGCTTCCGCCACGTTAGGTTCCATAACTTAAATGACGAGGCGGTTGAGCAGGATTCGGGCAATCACCTTGCCCACACAACTCAGAAAGTTGATACCACGATAATTCGTGCAACATTGCTTGCTCCCTTTGCCCTTGTACAGTGGTAGCACAAGGGCATCCTTCAGCTCAGCAGGCACCTCCTCCTCAATCCATACGCGTTGCACCAAGTGGTGCAGCGCAGTCAACAACGCGGGTCCGCCGTGTTTCAATACTTCAGACGGGATCCTGTCGGCTCCGGCACATTTGTTGTTTCGCAGCTGAGCAATTGATCTCTGCGTCTCATCCAGTGTCGGCGTGTCAGCCAGACTCGCCTTCATATCCTGCTGCTTGAGGCCGTTCAATGTAGGCCAGTCGATCTCTGAACGGTTGTTCAAGAGACAGTCAAAGTGTTTTTGCCGGATCTGCATTATGTCTGCAGTCTGCGTGCAGGTAGCGCCTGAACTACCATCGATCAGCGGTTCCAATCTCGCTCCATACACCGCCTTCAAGTCGTCAAAGAATTCCTTGTGTTGGCGGCGTTCGGCGTAGCATTCCATCTGCTTCGCCTTCTCCGTCCACCATGCATTTTTAATGCGACAGAGCTCTCGGGTCAGTCGCCGTCGAAGTTTGCGAAACTGACTCTTCTTCCCCAAGTCACTGGGATCTGCAACATGTGCAGCAAATGCTGCATTCTTCTCAGACACCAATGCGCCGATCGTCGCATTGTTCTCATCAAACCAATCAGGCCGCTTACAGTTTGCGCGCCCGATGGTCTCCTCGGCAGCAGCTGTCACCTGGTCGCGAATGTGGTGCCACAGGTCGCCCACTGTGGCTATGCAGTCCACAGCACACAGACGTGCAGCCATATATATATATATATATATATATATATATATATATATATATATATATATATATATATATATATATATATATATATATATATACATACATACATATATATATACCACAATTATTTGGCATGGTCAGACACGGTCCCAGATATAAGAAAGAACAAGACGGAAACAAGATCTTCTTGAAGAAAGCAAGCAGTAATTTTCAAACATCACATGTACGATGGACGTTCCTATGTGTGATGCAGACAACAAGAGGCACATTCCGCCCAGTTGTTGACACGGCACTAAGTTCAAAAGCAACAAAACCGACAGTGCGTAAAAAGTTAACCCTAGTAAAAGCGACCAGCCAGGCAAAAAGTTGACATGAATTTTAAATAGAACAGTGACCGGAAGTAAAGGGACGTCAAGCATCTGTTCATTTGTTCAAGGAAGCTACGCCAATTGACGAAAAAACGCGTTCATAGTTTTGAACGAAAACCGGCCAAATTGGGGCAACCTGAATCACATGTACACATCAAGAATGCTCCAAAATTGCTTGAAAGAGCACACCATATGGTTCAAGTGGAAATGGCATCCGCTGTACGGAAAGCCATCACGCTTAAAGCGATATTCAAAATAACCAGAAATAAGATTTGTTTCCCCACATTACCAGATATTGCACTCGGACGTGATGTATTTAACACTTCCCCACACTTGACACAACACATGAGTAACGATAACAAAAAAAGAAGAGTCAAAGGAAGGGATGCAAAGTCCCATGTGCTGTGTGGGCAGAGAGCTTCCCGGTTTCCCAGGCCGAGGAAGAGGATTTACTTAAGAGGCCCCACCCCGAGCCTTTGGTCTTAAAAACTTGACCCGAAAGGCAGTGGGACGATTCACAAAGACCGTTGACAGCCAGGTGGCTCATTCGCCTTCCTTGTGTTCGGAAGCAGTCCACAGAGAAACCGGTGGCCAACAAGGTGTTTATCCGCCCTCCGTTAGATATTCACCTCCAGTTACAGAAGTGAGTGGTCAGTGACCCTATAGCCGGTCACATTGGCTTTGACACAGCGCCGTATGAGCGCTTACGATATTTAATGCAGAACCAGGTGATTAGCCCAGAACTCTCCACACTGTGACGCTACCGCTGATTGTCCTCGACTGCTTATTCATCTCGCCTGCAAAGCAGACGATACTTATTCGCAGTTGCGTCCACAAGGAAGGCATTCCCCAATCCGCTACCTGGGGACGGGGCCGATAGCGTACAGCTCCGTCACGGAGATGAAATAAGAAGTGTCTGGGATCAGCAGCCATGAAGCTAGTTGCATGTTTTGCAACCGACGTATGATACAGTGTATAGAAGCTAAGAACTTTCGTGGAGAAATGCGTCATCCAACTCGGTTTATCCAGGGGCAAAACAGGAATGCATAATCTGAGAGGTATTAGTAGTAGGAAGCAAACTAACGAAATGTGCATCAAAGATTGATAAGAATTGGCGCGGGCTTATTTGCTTATGAATAAGAGCAACAAAGTGACAGTAACTAGAAAAGGAATTTAGCAGGTGAAGAAGACCTAGTTGCATATGCTAGAAAAATAAGCACGTCGCAGAAGACAAAACCGACCTCATTGCCAGCCGACTTGTTTGATTGCGAAAGCTGACCAGATGCGAGTCCCGCAGCTCCAGCTCCACCGACAACGTACGTGTCCAAACTGTCCGCCAAAGCAGTAATTTGGTCACGCAATCGCCGTAGTTCCGAAACTAAAACGGCTCGATCGCCCAGGTCGTTGAAGCGGTTGACCGAATCACTTTTATCTCCCACACATGATTCGCACTTTGAAGAGTCTGTGATACCTTTGACTGTAAAAGATAAAGATAAATTTATACATGATTGTGCAGACGGGTAAATCAGTAGGAAGACCCGGAAACTGGAGCGCCAAAATAACTTCTGGTATAGGGTACATCGCGAGGAATCAGCATTACAGTGCATTTTAACCGTGGCCAAATGAATAGGTACAAAGAAGCTAAAGTGACATAATAGTAAAGAGCATGATGACCACGAGAACCGATGGGACAATTCGTAGGCAATTTCATTTAAAAAACATTTTATTTGATTAGTTCCACATCGTTGCTGCAACTCGTATTCATTATAAATCGCGCTAGTGATTTAACAGAAAGTTTAATTGTAGATGTTTATGAGTAGGGTAAAGTTCGTAGAAAGTAGAAGTCACGATTAAAACTCACACAATAATGTGCCTCGACGGGGAGTCGAACCCCGGCCCAACGAATTTCCGGTCCGCTGCTCTACCACTGACCTACCGAGGGCTGACGATTAGGTGCGCAAGTTTGGACATTAGAAGGACAGATACTTCGGCCCATTGGGAAGTGACGGGTGAGTGAGCCAATCTGCAACACCAGGACAGATAACGTAAGCTCATTGACAACACGTCGCGCACCAAGCAGAAGTCATGTATTAAAACTTGCGCACCTAATCCTCAGCCATCGGTAGCTCAGTGGTAGAGCAGAGGACCGGAAATTGGTTGGGCCGGGGTTCGACTCCCCGTCGAGGCACATTATTGTGTGTGAGTTTTAATCGTGACTTCTACTTTCTACGAACCTTAACAGAAAGTATTGAAAACCTGATTGGGGTAGATGGGTTCGGTTCATCCATTCATTCATTCATTATACACGTTAGCTAGAGGTGGGAAACACCTCAGCTACTGTGCCGCAATACCTAAAAGAAAAAAGGGGGAAATGCAACAGGTGCAAGTCAGTTGAGCTACCGGTAACGGATGGGCATCGTTACGGTAAGCTACCGGCCGGCCACTGTGCAGCAAAAAAATTACCGTGCTAAATGATATAACGCTAAATAGTGAGATCGTGGTTGGAGGGGGGGGGCTGAGAGGGATGGGGTGGGACAAAGAAATTCACAGCATGAACGCCACTGAGGCCGGCTCGTAACCAGAGCAAGTGTAGCCAGTCAAACGTGTTCATCGCTTTTCGGACCTCAACCAGGGAGCCGAGACGCTCCAACCGAGGTCAGCACAGAAGTGAGGGCCTTCATTCCTCTCGTGCAAGTCATCGCTTGGCAAACCCCTTCTTCTTCCATATACACTCCCCGGGCGCGCAAACAACGCACGTCGCAATAGTCGATGGGCTGGTATGCGTAACACATGGCCGAGCCATCGGAGCCTGATGCGTGAAATAACGGTGCTGAGCGGTTCATTTTCTTTCCCAGTGCCGTAAACAAGGCGTGGAACACGATCGTTACTCACACGGTGTTCCCACCAGATGTGAGCTAAATTGCGAAGGCACCGGTGGTCGAACGTAACTAGCCTCTTTATTACCGTTGATCTACAGGGCGAGGTTTCACAACCGTACAATAAGGTCAAACGTACCGTCGCATTCTACACTCTACCCTTCAGGGCGAGAGTGATGTCGCGCCGGTGCCATAAGCGGCGAAGGTTAGCAAAAGCGCCTCGAGCTTTTGCTATACAGTTCGTGATCTCATCTCCAATCCCACGGGCGCTGATACAACTTCCCAGGTAGTTGAATTTTTGAACGACTTCTAGCTGGTCTCCACCAAGGGTCAGTGCCGGAGGCGATCTAGGCCAATCCTGGAGGAACTCATTGCACTTCGAGGGTGCGAAACAAAGCCTGAAGTGACGGACAACCAGTGCTAATCTGTCCAGTGCCGCTTAGCATGTTTGTAAGCTGTCACAGATTAGGGCAATATCGCCTGCATTCTCTAAGTCAAGAAGTTGTTCTCTCGAGAGCAGATCCACACCTTCTAAGTCATGTCCTGTAAACGCGATTTCCATGAATTCATCAATAGCGAAGTCGAAGAGGAAAGGTGACAGCGAGCATCCTTGTCTCACACCGCTGGAGATATCAAAGAACGACGACAACTTGCCGTAAGACCTCACTTTGCCTGAGCATAATGCACAGACACACCTATCCTGAGTAGACAGCCCAAAAGTGCACGTCTATCCACCGAATCGAATGCACCTTTGATATCGAGAAACACGACAACAGTGGACCACCAATTTATGTGACGGTGCTCCAACAGCTGACGCAAAGTGAAGATGTGGTCAATGTAGACACGACCTCGACGAAATCTGGCTTGCGTCAGTCTGTGAAGGATGATAGAGGCAAGCAATTGGGAGGCGATGGAGATCAGACTGATTCCTCTATGGTTGCCGCATTCCGATCGTGAGCCTCCCTTGAAAATTTGGATTATGACGGAGCGGCTCTAGTCGGTTGGGACAGTTTCGTGCACCCACAGTTTCGCTAGTAACTCGTAGAAATCATCTGATCCCGCGGTTTTAGTTAACTTCAACAGTGCGATCTCACGTTCGACTTCTGAGCGAGGGCGAGTCAAAAGGGACAGCCCACGGAGCGGGGAAATCAGTAGCCGGCGAGGAATCTAACGATTCCGATCGATTAAATTGCCTTTCAAAGTGCTCAGCCCAATGCTCCAAACGTTTCGACAAAGTGTGTCACTAACAACAGGTGTCCTGCTACCAGTTTCCCGTATCAGCCGTAATAACAGGATGGATACAAAGAGTAGTGGTCATTGCCATCTCTGGCGTACGATGAGACCACCAAGTTTCGCAGCCTCTCTTCAGGCTAGCACGGAGTTTTGCCCGGCGCTCGTTGCGAGTTTCATTGTGTTCGCTTTCAACCGGAATAGGCCGGCGAGCATCGATAAGTTCCAGAAACTTCGAAGAGACCCAATGTCCATGTTGGCGATTAGACTTACCACATGAGGATTTTCCTGCTGCTAGTAAGGTCTGGGGAATAGGAGACCAGTGAGCGCTTGCTCAACTCGCATGTCAGCGTACTTTGCTAGGCATTCAGAACAGCTGGCTTCGCCAGTTGGCTGGTGGCAATGAGCCCACAACGTCGTCACGGGCGTCCGCCAAAATGCATCCGCAGACCACGACATACAAGCGCATGGTCGGTGTCCACACATGTGCAACAAATCGAGCGACAGTTCTGGACGCAGCCTCTCCATCGGTAACTTATCGGAATGTGATCGATTTGCGTCCACAGCTAGTTCGAGACTGGTGGGCGCCAAGTAACCCTCCGGCGGGTGTTGTGTTGGAAATTAATGCTCGCAAGAAATAAGCGAGCATCCTCACACAAATGAAGTAACCGCTCACAGTTATCATTACGGAAGCCTACACTATGTTGGCCGTCCAGATGCTGTTTATCAGTGGATAATTTTCCAACTTGAGCGTTCAGATCCCTAGCCAGTGCAACAGCGTCCGAGCTTCTCCTGTGGCGAAGGAGCTCGTTCAGTTGACGATAGAAATCGTCTTTTACCGAATCACCGCTAGAGCTTGTGGGTGCATAAGCAGCGATGACGAATAGACACCTGTTAGTCTTATGCGGGTTCGAAGCTTTGAACGAGCCAGCTAATCGGACCGCACACATTAGGCTACTGATTGGAATCCAATCAACCACAGCAGCTTCAGTGCGGGGACTCAGGGCAATACCAACACCGGCTTGGCCGGTGCTCGAAGCTGCATCCTCACCGTATAGGCGCAATGAGAAATTACTGCTGGTGTCACCTGATGGGGATCGCAAAGTGAGTACAGAGATCGAGTCTTACAGGCGGGTCTCCGATAAGCCGCAGATAGTGATCGATAGGGTCTCAAATGTTCGGACAAGTGCTGCCTGTTGGCCGATCTGTAGCAATGTGCGCGAATTGAGGTATGCCAATCTGAAGGATGATCGAGGGCTCCAAATGGAAGCCGATGAACTGGGCTTGCGCAATTGCTTAGACATGGACTTGTCGTCAGAGCAGGAATGACGCTCCGTGTCTGCATGTGAGTTAGAACTAAAAGATAAAAGCCTATCAAAGCAAGCTAGGGGACGACCAAGAATTAGGGGGCTGAAAATAGGGTGATATACATGAAGCTGGAACGGGACGGTAAGAGTGAAAAAGCGTAAGAGGGGGAATAAGAAGATGGATAGGCTTGAGCAGTAGCATCCCAAACCCCTATCCACTCTGCTGGATGCAGCAGATAAGGCACCGTTGATTATCCTCTGCGGTGGCCAGAGCATCAAGAGATTTTTGGACGTAAGATTCATAGTATTGCGTGGGCAGCATACGGTCAGACTGCCCAGATCTAGACAGGAGAACGATTAGGGTTCTCAACCAAAGCCTTTGGTTCAAAAACCTGACCGCAAGGCAGCGGGTTTGGCAGTGAACTACAAGTATTACGTTTTAAGGAATGAGGAGTCACCCTCATTCCAACCCCCATCCTGGAGGCTGAGTTTGTCTGGCCTCTAACCATTGCCTAATCTGGTATGAGTGGCTCTGAAGGTGCAAAAAAGCACTACCCAGCATAGCTCAGTGAATCTCTGAAGCACACAAACCATCGCACCACGGTAAGGTCCAGCATCATTGCGATGGCTCGGTACTGCTCTCCTATCACGACCGGTTCCGTCCTTAGGCGAACTGATCAGCGACAGATTGCCTGAGCTTGGAGTCCGGTAAGTAGTGCACGACGGCTAACGCCATGATCATCGGACCATCTAAATGCACGAACAGCGCCTGACACATCGTCTCGATTAAGATTGTATAGCGCAACCCAAACACAAAAGGTGGGCACTCCGAAACTCACTGTTCATGCAGCGCAATGATCTAATGGTCATGGCGTTAGCAGTCCATCCCTGTGTGCTCAGCTGCATGCCCACAACTCAGGTTATCGCTGCCTGATTAGTTCAAACAAGGAATGCAGTGATGGGAGCAAGCAACGTCTGAAGCCTACACTTCAGATACGGTCTCAGTGATCGGGAAGACAGAGGCTGACTTCAGAGTATGTACGTATGTAATCTCAACAGTCTAGCAACTAGACATAGAGCCAACGAAGCCATGGAGATCAGTGGATAGGAGACAGTCATTGCGTCATAATCATCGTGGCATGGTAGTTGAAGGTGGGCCACACACTTCAGCTAATCTGCCGCAGGAAGAATGGAACATTTTGATAAAAAATAGAACAAAACACTTTTAGTTTGTTTGTCACACGCCGATTTTTCTCTTTTTTGTCATTTTCAATGTTGGTAGTATTAAACATGTGAAC